AAATACCTTCATAGGTGTTCTCTTCAGGAAGCTATCACGAACTACCAATAAAGACAGGCACATGTGGTGGTAACGGAGACATTTATGAGAGGCACGTATCTTCCCAAAGCTAACCATTAAGTTAACCAAGTAATTATAACTTACATTTGGTCTCTCTGAGATTGTGGAAGATGGAAAAAAACTTTTTCAGGGTAGTCTGCTTTTAACTCCCAGTTGGAAACACTCATTCTTTCAGGGTTTTTTAATGACTTTTCAGGGAGAAAAGATCTTGGTAGGTCTCAAAAAGAATTTTCATGAAATAGGCCAAAACCAGTTAACTCATTCACTAGGCACAGGTCAGAAGCTCATCAAATACTGCCATCTGGTGTTGAGGCTTGCCCAGCTGTTAAGTTCGTTCAGCAAGGTTATCTGAGTAAGAAACTATTATTAAAATAATAGTATTATATTCATTTGCTCGATGTTGAATTGAATCAGACTGGGAGAATGCAGTGCGGTCACGGAAACATATCAACACTCTTGTTTTTAAACAGAGTTCATTCCTGCAACTGCTTATAGGACCAGGAAGTACCAATTCAGAAGTTCACAAGGTAGATGCTCACACTATGCTCTCTAATTTCTGAGTAATTCAGTGAAATTGAAACACCATATATCTAAGAAACCTTTATTATGCTAAAGAGACCTTTATAACGTTAATGCAGCTCCACATAACTGTTTATAAAAATTTCACAAGAAAAGAGAATTTATTCTAAGGATAAGAAGTCTGCATTATACCAAAATTCCATTATATCCCTGGATGTGTTCGAGGTCAGGTTGGACATGATTTGAGCAACCTCATCCAGTGAGAGATGTCCCAAAGCGGTGTTGGAACTAGATGTTCTTTAAAGTCCCTTCCAACCCAAACCATTCCAGGATTCCATGATTCTAGAACAACACATATAGAAAGATAAATCCACTGGAAAATCTGGCTGAAGGTCTAGCATTCAAATGTTGCTAGATTTCTTTGAACAGAAGCTTGCTTAGTTGTAGAAGAAAGCTATTTGTTATCAAGATAAACAGCCAACAAACCTTTCCGTAAGAAATGAGGATGAAAATATATTTTCCACAGGGTAGAAAACTTAACAGTTTTAGATCCAAGAATACCTGATAGTAAAGAACCAGATTAAATTTCTAGGAATTCCCACTGAAGGTGTAAATAGACCTTGAGCCTTCACTCAAAAATTGTATTTCATTATTTTGGCCCATTAGAAATGATCAATTCTTCCCTTGCAACCCATATGAGATTACCTATAGAGTTTTAGCTAAATACCGTTGTAGGGGCAAATAGAACAACACAACAAACATTAAGTTGAAAATCCTAAGTAATCAATAGTAGGAAAAATCAATGCTCCTTGGATATGCAAATCTAATGCTCTTACAGCATCACATACTTGATGAGGCAGCAAACTAACCTCCCTTTCAGATTTTGCACCAGTGTTTTTTGCCCAGGGAGAGCAGAGTTCATCTGTTTAGTAGATGAAGCTCTTGTTCTTTAGAGATGAGAAGCCTCTAAGGACTCTCTTTATACCAGCTGAAGCGATCACACCAACAGTTCTTGGTGGCTTTGGTCTGAAACCCCAATGCTTACTGCTGCTACCTTTTGCCATTGTCACCCATTGCTACTCCACTGCCAGGTCACCTTTCACAATAGCCTCTGCAATACTTTCAGCTTTTTAAAAAGGTCTAAATGGTATATATAATCTTTCTTGATTACTTATCACACTCAGAAAAATTGCCTTTCGTCTCACCTTTACCACAAGCTGCTTTACCCAACTGCGTCAGTACTTCAGCACCTCAGATATTCTGCTGCATGTAGCTCCCTTTCAAATATGTTTTGAACATGAATAACAAAGATTATATTCAAAGCCAACTTCAAACTCCAAAGGTTTTTTTTAGGCAAGAATACCTCAAAACTGTTAACACCAATTTTCACAAAACATGACTAAAAGTAGTTAGCTATTTCTTGGCTGAAGTAAAAGCTATTTTGACCCAGGGAGATTAAGTGAACACAGATAAATTCAAGGTAAATCCAAGGGTGGCACTAGGAAGAATCTGAGAAACAGTGTGTTAAACAGTGCGTAACATGCAAATAAAGCCTACCTTATCCAGACAGCTACTTTCACCCTCCAGCAGCGGCAAAATGTTCTCTCCATTAGGGGACACATCTGGAATCCTCTAAAGACCTGTTGGCTGCTCTTACCCCTGTTTACATAGTGCCAAGTACTAGTTCCCCACATTTTGAAAGCCTTTTAGTAAGTATTTTGCAGAAAGAAGAAACAAAACAAACCACCAAACCCACAAATCCAAAACTCCAAACAAACGAAGAGATAAATCACGAACTGACAAAAAGCCTACAATGCTGAAAAAATTTTAACACTAAACCCACACTTATTAGAGGGTTCAGAGGGATTCTTCAATTCATTACTATTAAGTGTCATCTGTTGCTGTCAAATTTGTATCTCAAATAAAACTTTTGGATGCCTTGTAACATTTGTGAAAATGTACACAAAAGGTACATTTGTACTCAAAAAGACTAGTAACGTCTTACAGAATGTTTCAACATAAGGGATCTATTTAAAAAGCTGACTACTAATTCAAAGAAGCCCTGGTATACTACAAAATTATTAGAAAGGCTCCCCTCTTGCTACTAAAGCGAACTGAATCATTAAACTGAATCGCTAAGATCAACAGAAACAAGACATATTTTTATGCTATATGTCAGCTGAGATACCAAAGCACATTTCTACATATAAAAGATGTTTGTTAGTGTTTTGTTTTTTTCTTCTACAAAACACTTAATTCTCAAAGAGCTGTTCTGTATTCATAGCAGCTCAAGAAATGTTTTTTTTTTCCCTCTGCCACTTACAGCTGTAAATATACAAAGCTAACTAAAACCAATTCCGTTTAAAGTTACTACCTTCCTGAATTCTGCTAGGGAAATGCATCTTATAGTATAAAACAGAGAGCATTTCTTACAGAAGACCGCTGTAAAACTTAGTCACAAGTTAACTGATCTCAAAACCAAAAAGCTGTGCACATATATGTAGGTCATGAACCAACACTAGTGTTCTGTCACATAATTACAGATACAAGACTTAGTCTTTAAAATCCCTTGTAAAATAACACTATATTATTACCCTCATATGACAGGGAAAGAGAGAAGTGGTGTGACTTGCTTCAGTCAGGTGAGTCACCAGCTGAGCTGGTAAATGAACTGACTGAACCGAGTTGCAATTTTGAAATTTCCTCACCACTCCCTACAAAAAAACCCAAAACAAACAAAAAAAATCCTACCTCAAAAATCTTTAATTGTTTGTAATTTAATACCAGCCTTTTCCTTTATCTGCTTTTAAAGGTAAAATATGATCTGATACACCATAAAGAAAGGTCTCCATAGCAAGACTGCACAATAGTTAATCATTTGCTCTGCTGGATAACTTTGTGTACTTTCTAATCTGGTTTTATACTAAGTTCACCTGGCCCCAAAAAGGCAAAACCAGCAAGGGAACAGCCACTTCTTTTTTTAGCTGTAATAATAAATGTATCTAAAAAGTTACCGATCATCTATTAAAATGCAAAAATGAAATATCAAATAATTTCAGAGTTAAACCAGTTTGCAAATTCAAATATGCTGTACAATTTGGTTTTGCCTTTGTTAGTTTTAAGAGTGCGAATTTTATGCAGCCTCGTTTGACACACAATATATTTTAATCCATTTTTAAATGAATGGAAATTTAGAGTATTCTTGACTAGCAATTTGTACATACTCAACGCCTCGTAAAAGACCTACTCTTAAAATATGAATTGCTTAACGTGCAGGAATAATTTAAAGTACAATAATTTTGGCCAAAACATACTAATCACAGAGGGCAATTCAAGAATATGCTCTTTTTTAAACAGTGCGCAATGATCTGGTTCAATTCCAGCGATCCCTCGCGGTAGTTTTAAGCATTTAAAGTTGGCCACCAACCCATAGTGCCAAGCTTATCCAGTCTAAGAAAGTAGGGGGTCCTTTAGGACTGATTATAATCTTGCTTCTGAAGGGTTAAAATTGTGGTCGGCAACGTTTCTAGTTTTTTAAGACACAAGCAGGAACACCAGGTCCTCAGCTAAAGCTATCACGTGGTAACAAAAAATACTAGGTAGTTAGAGATAGAAATACTTGGATGGTGGAGACAGACATGACAGGGATAAAAGGAGACTTCTCAAAAGGGATGCTCCAGGTAACATCAAAAGAGCGCAAAAGATGCTTCCATCATGACAGGGACACAACAGCATTAGTCCCACTGTGGTTCTGCCCCCAAAATAACTGTCTGTCTGTTCTGAGAAGACAGCAACAACCAGAACAAATACAAACGGGGCTAGGAAGACATACTGATTTGTAACACAAGAGCATGTAACTGCAAACGCAAAAAGAAAAGAGAAAAAGTTTGCTTGCTTTTTCCCCAGTAACTTCGTTTGACAATCATCATCTGCCCGCGGCACCGCTGGACAGACACCTCAGCGTGGAAACATCGTCTCCGCTCCCCACTCACCTCCCCGAACGGGGGGCGGCCCGACGCAGCGGGTGACGGGGCGCCCTCCCGAGAAGCGGGAGCCCATCTGACCGGCAAGACGGCCGCACAGC